AATATTTCAGTAGTGTTAATAACATTTTGGACAAACACGGAGAACAATGTTAATAACCCTCCTGAAATCGCCTTCCATTTCTACACAAACTTGAGAATATGTACCACATTCCATTACAACGCTAATATTCACTGTTTTAAAAAAAACTAAATGCTGCATCGCCGATACGCAAATTTATGCAGGACACACAATCAGTGGGCACTCATTGAAATGGATCGCACAGCCAACCAGCGATCTCTCTTGAATGGGTCACACATCCAATCAGCGATCTCCTCTAAATAGGTCACAAAACCATTCAGAGCTCAGCCAAACTGGTCACACACAGCCAATAATGTTAGTGAGAATAATATGAATACATGTTTGAAGCAGTTCACTGTAACAATATTAAAGCTTAGATGCAACCAAAACAATAAACATAATCAAAACACAATTATCATTTATTCATAACATATGATATACATTGCTGATTATGTAAAAACAAAACAAAAAAATTATAAGCGTACAATCGCAAATCAAAAGTGCAATATTTTGTACCTGGGTTTACTACCCTCGAAACGAAGCACGCAGGATACCGAACCCAGTCAGAGCGGGTGGGCGTGCACTTAAGTGTAACGAAGCCTTACATTGGCTGGTTTGTTTGCCGATACGCTCAGGGGTCTTTGTGTACAGAGATGTTGTAAATACACGCTCATTTTTTAGTATAACATTTTGTAATCAACAGCCATCATAACATGTCATGTATCACACCTGCCTGTCTGTGTAATTACATAATGTGACAGAGACAATACTCGGGTGCACGAGCCATAAATCAATGCGTTTTGTTTATGGTGTATAGCCTGATAGGTGTTCAGTTCAAATTGCATGTGGTCAGTGATCGAAGTTGTGTATTGCATATTGTCATTAGCAGACAGGCAGGCAGACACATACGTGTCAATAAAACAGAGATTGAGTTTTGTCTGTGACAGAGGCATATCTATATCACAGTTAGAAAATCTGACAATGCTAAATAATGACGTTGATTTTAAATATCGGACTGAGAAAGTGACTCGGTAAGAACGTGTGGTGAAATAGTCAAATGAAATTATATAAACAGTTATATCGGTAATCTACTGTCATAACATATAAAAAGCTCGCGCCTTTGAAATATCAACAAAACATTAGAAAAATAGCTCACATCAAAGCCTACTCCGAGTACTCACCGCGCGCCAGTGAAGGTTTTCCGTCTTGAAATGTCGAACGCCTCACTGGTTGACACATAGCTGAGTAGATCTAGATCCTTAACAAGGTTCTTTTATGTAACGAGTAGATTATTTACTATTTGTTGTTTGTGTACACAACCGAGATTAGACTACTCCTGCTCACGACTTTATAATTTGGGCATCCCGCTTCCAAGCTGCGCGAACCTATTCACAGCTGTTGAAACCACTTTTCACCCCAGCTGGGGTGAATTTAGTGAATCGTTCGAACTCCGATTTCGCGGGGGTTTTTTCATCGCGTTATTTTTCAACTTTATAAGTTGAATTTGCATTTTTGATCATTTGTTACTTTAAGTCCATAGCGAAATGTATCAGAATCTGCAAGTTGTGTTTTGCGTTGCATGTGACCTTTAATAATTCCAACATAAGTCTGTAGTAGTTAATTGAAACAATGCTAGGAATAACCACATAAATATAAGTCATTTCCTGAAACCACGTAAGTAATATCCCCATAAATATGTCTGTCTGTCTAAGTTTATTGATAATACCCGGTCCCCATGGTCCCTAGTATGGTGACCTACCTTCAGTTGCTGGTGATCTCTAGCCCTAATTTATATATTGTATTGTTCATAAAATTTGTTTAATTTTACAGTTACATGCTAGTTTTAATTCTCTATCTGTGAATAATTCAATTTAATTTATTATGAATTTGTAATTTGATAAAGTCACGATATGACTGACATATTGCCGATGTGACTATACATCGTAACTCACTCCCTATTGATATTATCCACATGCATATGTGCCTTTTGTTGTTCATTGAAACAATAATCCTGATATCCACATATATTAGGCCCGCAGTGCTTTCAACATTGAACGAAAATGTTAGTAATGTTCACGTTCTGTATCAATGTTTCGTCAAGTAAATAGATTAACATTTTCAGAGAAAGGTATTCGATGAAATAAATGATTTCCGTGCGGACTTTAGCTACGGATATTCAGCTAGACATAGTATGTTTATGCAATATTCAATAGATAGAGATACCTTGGGTAGAAAAAGAGTAACGTGTTACGTGTCGATTCCCGAGTTGAAACAAAACGTTAACAAGCAAACTTTACAGGAAAGAGTACTATGTGAAACAAACAAATAAACAGCAAAGTATTGCAGCATAATTAACAATCGTAGCGTAAAAATTATTTAAAAATACAAATAACTCCAAGTAATTGAAATAGCAGTGCAAAATGGAGTGGCAGTATATATACAACGGCAGTACAGATACAACGGCAGTACAGATACAACGGCAGTACAGATACAACGGCAATACAGATACAACGGCAGTACAGATACAACGGCAGTACAGATACAATGGCAGTACAGATACAAGTACAGAAACAATGGCGAAAAGGCAAAGTACAGATACAACGGCAGTACAGATACAACGGCAGTACAGATACAACGGCAGTACAGATACAACGGCAGTACAGATACAACGGCAGTACAGATACAACGGCAAGTACAGATACAACGGCAGTACAGATACAACGGCAATACAGATACAACGGCAGTACAGATACAACGGCAATACAGATACAACGGCAGTACAGATACAACGGCAGTACAGATACAACGGCAATACAGATACAACGGCAGTACAGATACAACGGCAATACAGATACAACGGCAGTACAGATACAACGGCAATACAGAAACAACGGCAGTAGATACAGATACAGATACAACGGCAGTACAGATACAACGGCAGTACAGATACAACGGCAGTACAGATACAACGGCAGGTACAGATACAACGGCAGTACGGCAGTACAGATACAACGGCAGTACAGATACAACGGCAATACAGATACAACGGCAAGGATACAACGGCAGATACAAGATACAGATACAACGGCAATACAGATACAACGGCAGTACAGATACAACGGCAATACAGATACAACGGCAGTACAGATACAACGGCAGTACAGATACAACGGCAACGGCAGTACAGATACAACGATAATACGGCAGTACAGATACAACGGCAGTACCGGCAGTACAGATACAACGGCAAGTACAGATACAACTGCACGGCAATACAACGGCAATACAGATACAACGGCAGTACAGATACAACGGCGGCAGCAATACAGATACAACGGCAATACGGCAATAGATACATACAACGGCAATACACGGCGGTACAGATACAACGGCAATACAGATACAACAGCAATACTGATACAACGGCGGTACAGATACAACTACAATGCATATGACAGATATAACGGCAACAGATACAACGGCAACAAAAGTTGTGAATAGCAGATGTGTTATATTATATACCTGTCACACTGCTGAATTTTACCAGGAACAACTGGTTGTTCCCAGAGCTTATCATGAATTTCACAGAAATAAACCTTGTTTTCCGGTATTTCAGGAATTAATGCTAGAGGGTATTCTGTCTGTAAGCGTTGATGTTAAGCCCGTTTAGAATAGGATAGTACCAGGATTATTTAGGTGTACTCATGGAGGTAGCCAAGGTTGTATTCTCAGTCCCTTTATGTTTACAATCATTAATTATTTAAATGAATAAGCGTCAAATATTAGAGCTTCATTGTGATGGAATGATTTAGCTGCACCCATAATGTACTTAGTTACTTCTTAGAAATACATATCACATTGATCAGTCAGTGCACCAAGTATATTGTTGTTTGGCCCTCCCCATCTTGAATAAAAGACTTTAGAAACATTGTATATTGAGTCACGGCGAGAACGTTAAATATATATGACATTGTAGACCTTCACAATGTTATCCAATGAAAATATGAATATCTGGTCACATAATCACACCTGATCCTGTACCGACAATTCACCCTATGGGCTTTCCCATATAAAGAGCCGCTTGCTATATTTAACAGGACCTTAAAGTTAAATAGCTGGAAATTATCAAACTGGTTATTATATTTCAAAAGCAAACATGTGTTTGTTGATATTTCTCATGTATACTATTCTCACAACAGTATTTCCAGTTGAAACATTCATCACACCGTTTCTATAAGTATTCACAGATGAGGTGTTGACGGAACGTGACTCTCCCATGGTGAATTAAGACAGAGTGGGTACATCATGTAATGGGGTTTCACACGATCTTGCTGTCAGACACACTAGCCTCCTGGCATACATCAGTCAGGCAATCATCATCCACTTGTCCAACCTCATTTTGTCGCCGACCCCTACCGGTTAAGATCCCTCCGCCTATCACAACCCTGTTCCGATTCCTGACCTCCATCCCATCTGGATCTTGCTTCCATCTTCAAAGCTAGATCCATTTGTTTTTACATTCCATCGTCAGTCACCAAACCGTCCATGCCCATCCTCGGGAAATCACTAACCGTCCATCCCATCCATCCCGTCATTTCGGACGCTCCTCTGTCAACCACCAGCCTCCGTCCATCCCCACCCATCTGTCAACCACCAGCCTCCGTCCATCCACCAGCCTCCGTCCGTCCATCCCCCTCTGTCAACCACCAGCATCTGCCAACCACCAGCCTCCGTCCATCCCCACCCATCTGTCAACCACCAGCCTCCGTCCATCCCCACCCCTCTGTCAACCACCAGCCTCCGTCCATCCCCACCCTCTGTCTGCCCATCCCCACCCCTGTCAACCACCAGCCTCCGCTGTCAACCACCACCCACCCATATGTCAACCACCAGCCTCCGTCCATCCCTACCCTCTCTGTCACCACCAGCCTCCGTCCATCCCCACCCATCTCAACCACCAGCCTCCGTCCATCCCCACCCATATGTCAATCCACCAGCCGCCGTCCATCCCCACCCATATGTCAACCACCAGCCTCCGTCCATCAACACCCCTCTGTCAACCACCAGCCTCCTGTCCATCCCCACCAGTCACCCCAGCCTCTGTCCATCCCCACCCATCTGTCAACCACCAGCCTCCGTCCAGCCAACACCTATATGTCACCCACCAGCCTCTGTCCATCCCACCCTGCTGTCAACCACCAGCCTCCGTCCATCCTCCGTCCATCCCCACCCATCTGTCAACCACCAGCCTCCGTCCATCCCCACCCATCTGCCAACCACCAGCCTCTGTCATCCCCACCCATCACCAACCACCAGCCTCCGTCCATCCCCACCCTCTGTCAACCACCAGTCCATCCCGTGTCAACCATCAGCCTCTGTCCATCCCCACCCTCTGTCAACCACCAGCCTCCGTCCATCCCCCCCGCCCTTTCTGTCAACTACCAGCCTCCAACGTCCAGGCTCCGTCCATCCCTCTGTCAACCACCAGCCTCCGTCCATCCACCTCCGTCCACCCCTCTGTCAACCACCAGCCTCCGTCCATCCCCACCCCTCTGTCAAACCAGCCTCCGTCCAGCCTCTGTCAACCACCAGCCTCTCTGTCCATCAGCACCCCTCTGTCTGTCAACCACCAGCCTCCGTCCATCCCCACCCCTCTGTCAACCACCAGCCTCCGTCCATCCCCACCCCTCTGTCAGCTAAGAGGCGACTAAAGGGATCGGGTGGTCAGGCTCGCTGACTTGGTTGACACGTCATCGTATCCCGGTTGCGTAGATCGATGACCATGCTGTTGATCACTGGATGCACCGGTCCAGACTCGATTATTTACAGACGACGCCATATAGCTGGACCTTTGCTGAGTGTGGCGTTAAACAACAACAAAATCATTTTTTAGAATGCCGTACACATGGTTTGTATGGCGATTATCAGGTTATTATCATTATCATACATGAGCGGCAAATCGTGAATCAAGCTGTCAAAATCATATCGGACCGTACTCACTACTTAAATTCGGAATACAACCTCTTCCCTTCAGGCCGCCGCTACAAAGTTCCAATTGTGAAAACTAAGAGAGCCCGTACATCCTTTATTCCAAGTACCATATCTCTCTTAAACAAATGTGAAGATACCTAAATCAAAGAATTTATGTAAATATGTTTGGTATCTCTCTAATGTGTCAGTAGCTCTGCTGATGTAACACAAATTCCTGAAAAGGCATTAAAGTATTATTTTATTCTATTCTATTCTATTCAATAAACTACCTTCTGGTGTGATTAGATAAGAAAAACCGTTATAATTCTGCGTTGTTATTCACTGTATCAAAATTACAGTCGGCAGATGTAAAGAGGTGTGAATGTGATGTGTATATCTGTGTATCCCTGGGTGTATACCCCACCCCCACCCCAACATACATCCTCTCCTCTCCGTATACCTTCCACCTTTGACCATCTTAGTGTGTCCATCCCTACACGACCCCCTAACTAACCCCTCAATCCACCTCCCTCATCATCTCCTTGACCCATCCATATCCAGGTCAACATTTTCTGTCACATCGTGATGTCTGTGTGTTTCTCTTACGAATAAAGCTAAAGAGCTCACACCTATGTTTACCAACCATTGTACAAGAACCAATAACTCGACCCCGAGGCGCTAAACTATGAGCCGATGGATCACCCGCGTAATCAACAGACTGATAGTTCACGGTAGCCTCTACTCCCATCCCTGCCCTATCACACAGCCATACAGTAGGCATCCAAAGTGCAAATCTCACATAACCGTTTGCAGTGCACGTCATCTTAAAGTAAAGATCGTGCCACGTGATTAATCGTCACAGTTTCAATATTTACCTCATACAATAATCCAAATGAATACCAATTGATAAATTCAGGTTGTCCAAATAAGTTTGAGTGAGTGAAGGCAGCAGCTAAGACGGGCTGAATACGGGGTGCGGTGCATAAACCTGGTTATGACGGAGTCTCACGGACACTGTGGAATATAGCGCGATACCACATGGGAACACAAGTCTAGGAAATATAAATAATACACCCTGAACAAACGGCTAATATTGACAGTACTGAGCGGCTGCTGGCAGCCCTAAAACAGTGTGTACGAAGACCTGGGTTGAAAGAGGTAAGATTTCACATCTGTCTTATCAGTGATTAACGCTTGGAATTTGAATATTTTAAATTTGATGGTTATTTTATCAGTTTGGTTCTCATTCCGCAAAATATACACTCCGTCAGTACTTCATTTTGAATCAATTATTACGATTTTGTCGTCTCGTTGACACAAAGAAATAGTTCCGTAGATTGATTGCCCTGCCTTGTCTTGTTTTTAGGGTCAAGTGCTTGTGGGGTCATCTCACATATAAAAACATACTTTGTTCTGCAGATGGGAATGTATCAGTTTAGAAAATAATGCCCTCCAATGAAATCTCTGTTTTGAAAATTAGATCAAAGTAAACTGAAGGACAAAAGAAAATACACAGCCATGTTGGATGGTGCTTAAAATGACACAAAGAATGTTGTTATGGAGATGTATTTGATACGGATGTAATAGCTTAGGTATAGACCTCAGTTTGTCAAGATTTCGGCGACCGTTTCAGCCTAGTAACGTCCTCCTTCTGTTTGTAAGAGTTTGCCAATTTTCAGGTGAATACTTAATAGTTGTTCTTGGCCCGCGGTGCATCACGTTGTATCACAGAAAAAACATACTTTCAAGTTACTGGCAGGCATGATTTCCTTAGCTGATCAATTTAGGGGGGAATTGATCAGCTAAGGAAAGTATGTCTGCTAGTAACTTACAATGAAAACTTGGATTTCGAGAACTCTAAGTATTTCGAAATAGCCAGCATTTTCTTGAAATGTTTGTAAAAATGTATGTAAATCCGAAACATGTTTAATATCTAAATGTGTTCGTACTTTAGTATCTCAGGTAGTTTAGGATTGACTGAACGTGTTTAGGGGCTAAGTTGTAAATTATTAATGTTTTAGCGTTTAATCAATATATATGTATAAAAGTGTGGGGATAACTTAAAGAAACTGGGGGTCTGTTGTAGTAATCAGATATACATACATTGTCAGCCACCGTTTCTGAATGATAGTGATACTATCTGTCTGATCTGTATTCCCACAGTTACACTCTTAGAACTATGATATCTAAAAACATTAAACACTCTTCTGTAAACCTGGTGGTTAAAGCCTTCGCCAGTTTATACATGAGTACAATGTGTAAAGCGGCTTTCCGGTGTCCCCTGCTGTTATATTACCGGAATATTGCTAAAGGCGGCGTAAAACCATACTCACTCTCATGATTGAAGACAATCACGTATCTGACCGCCTGTAGTTTCTGGGTGTGAGCTGGTCCCCACCAGCTGAAGCATCTGTTCAGAGGCTGAATGGATCGGGTGGTCAGGCCAGGTGACTTGCATCGTCCCTTGTTGTTCTGAATCGTTGATCTTGGGTCAATCACCGGATTGTCTAGATAATATAAAGGGCGCTATCGTATCTTTTGAATATTAATTATGTAGTAACGATACACTAACAAACACATACCTGCATGCATGTATTTTAATTGTTTCGGTACATTTTTAGCATAAGTCTAAGACAATTCATTATTATTGTTTGCAAGTGTAATTCAGAGAATATTTGTTTCAGATTTCGGATTCATAAAAATGAAGTTGTCCCTCAGTATAGCACTGCTCGTGGCTACATGCCTAGTAGTCTGCAGAGCACAGACAGGTAAGGAACGTTTATCAGCATCATTCTATCCATTTGCAAATGCATCCATAGCTACTAAAACAAATGCTTATATAAGAATTAATCACGTCAAATCTGACCCACAAGAACCACAGCCACGATATGCATGGTTACTAAAACATAACGCCAACATTACGTACACTGCATTGGCTGCCAATCAGACAAAGAATTGTCTTCAAGGTGTTGGTGTTTGTGCACAAGGCCCTTCACAACCAAGCTCCAGAATACCTGACTGAACTAGTGTCATGGTATCAGCCATCACGAACCCTGAGATCAGCCTCTTTAAAACAAGCAGTAGTGCCCTCTACCCGCAGAGCGAGTTATGGGGATAGAGCTTTCGCCAAAGCAGGTCCTCTGTTATGGAACCAACTACCTGAAAACCTGAAAAACTTGTCAGACATAATTCCATTCAAAAAAGAACTAAAAACAGTTCTTTTCCACAGAGCATTCGACCAAGCGCCTTAGAGCAAACCTTAGATTCAGGCGCTATACAAATTTTAACATTAATTAATTAAAACAAAGCCGTCTTGAATTACAATGTCGTCATGAAGATGTAACCGTTTTGTTGATCTTTTTGTGACATATCCCGTTTATTCGGCACTATCAAAGAACGCGGGGTCAAGCTAAGTAAACTAGAAATGTCTTTTAAGTATATTTGCATGACAATTACCACACGCGTTCTGCAGCCTGACAGCGGGCATTTGTTCGTTTTACCACTAAGTTTCAAACGTGATGAGGTAGAAAATAGAGCTAAAAATAAATATAAAAGTCGCTTGTTCCACATCAAGAGGAGATCTAATTATAAGCATACCTGTATATACATCTTCTTTGGATATCAGGGGAAGTTATAGGTGTGTTCATGTTCAAATATTTGAGAAACACTTTCAAACATACAAAAGAAGCAAATATAAAATGAACATTCTAGCCGGATATGCAAGGAAGTGTGGAACAGAACAGTCTTATACCTATTCATATGAATACAACCGCTAGCATTCATAAAAAAAAGCTAAACGTTAATTTCAGATCTTACATTATGCAGATGAAGTTGGCCAAGAATGAGCCAGGAATTATCATATACACAATCACATATTTTGAGTGAAAGCGTCTGATCTGTGTTGTATAGCTTCAAAACTGTAGAATATTCTGGAATGATGACATGTTGGTTTAGCTAGTGGGGATCTTGAGTTTTTAAAAAAAACATATACAGTTTTTCCAGAAAGTGCTTCTCCCTCTTGAAAAAAACAGATATTGGCTGCCACAAAATAAAATTGAAAAAAATATCTTGCTTTGTAGTTGTATGTAATAATATAAATGGTTTTACGTCTATATTTTTACGAACTATATGCAGAGAAAGGTGAGATATAACGTCTATATTTTGAGGGACTCGACGTTTCGGAGTATATTCTTAATCCTTCACCTGATGAAGTTACATCCATAAATTATCGCCTCAATGTGTGTCACTTCTAACAACCGTTCAAAGACTGCATACGGAGAAACAGCGCAGTAGGTATGACTAAAACATAGGTCTACTATGCTTGCAGTTACACCCAGATAGCAAACACTACAATACAATCTACAACACTTGTTTCAGTTGCAGCGAGCCACGTGTGTACATTTTGCATGCAGAATAAATACGCTATAATGTGTCACCTTCGACGTATCACACACGGGACAATAGTTTTAAACGAAAAGAATAAAATGAATCAATTCCCCATAGCAACAAGAAACATAATAGACGGTCTATCTATCTTAAAGTCAAATGTTGATATAATGTATAGAAAACCTATGCTGTGTGTTACCACATTGAAGGCAGCTGTCGTCAACAGCAACGGTTGTGCTGATGAGTACAAATAGATACTCGCGTATGATTAAACAAATGCCTGAAGTCTGATACTGTTAAAATGGCGAGACTTGACCGACAGAGCGTTCAATTACAAGCCTAATTACAGACAGATATTTTAGAATGAATGAGTTAAGATTTTAGTCACATCGGCAGTATTTCAATATTAAGATATTGTGGAATAGCCTCGCCTCATTTAATATACAATGCACTTTTATGCTATTTGATTAAAGCATAAATAAACGGGGGAAATGAACCACCCTATTCTTTCAGTACGATCTATCTTTCCAAGCTGTACATAATAAAATATTTGTTAACTCAGCACTATCAAACATCTATAATGTTCACTAATGCCATAATGTTTTTTCATGTATTTCTACATTGCAAACCATTCATTTTGGACACGACTGTCAACAAACTATTAATTTTGGGCATATTTATGAACAAACTATTCATTTTAAAAATATATTCCCACATTAATGGATGTTCCCTTAGACAATTTGAATATTTCGTTATTTTACAAATTGTCCGAATACTATGTCCTTTTATTTTATTGTTATAACGAAATCCATTTTGATGTTGAATTTTCGTTACCCAGTGATATTCTGTAAAATATTTAGGAAACCGGAAAGTAAATGTAAAACTGTTGTGGTGTTCATTCATTCATTCATTCATTCATTCATATCATGCAATTTGTTTTGTCTATGAGTATATACTCTCGAGAACTTACTAATAACGTTTAGATAATCTGTCAACGAAATGGGCAGATTTCCTGCCTATATGCATTATGATTATCTAGATATGTTTACAGATTGACCCATGTTTCGATTGAGTTGGTTCATGAATGTAATCGGTTCATGAATGTAATTAGTTCATGAGATGTAATCGTATCCCAACTGCGTTGATCGATGCTCATGATGTCAATCACAGTTTTACACATGATTACTTACCTACCATTTTGGCGGAATATTGCTGTGAAACTATGGTGTTAACAAGAACAGGTTCCATGTACAACCAAAGGACTGAGAGTTAGAGGTTCCAGCTCGTGTTACACCACTGAGGAAATAGGTTGTCATTAAATGTTCCCAAAAGACGAGGTTTTGGTGGTAAAAGGATAACTTGCTGATGAATAGTCTATCTCAGAGTCACTGAACCATATAATTTTCCTTCGACACAACACTACCTGTTAGACATACGCTCAAAATGAACCAAGTCTAGATTTCCACTGGTTTGAATCTCAAATCTCACTGGAGATCCTATTAAATTTATAAGGAGCTATTTGTTACTCTCAGAGATTAAGCGTTAGTCCACCTGTTAGTTGACGAAATAGTGAAAACCTTTTCAAACTGTTCTCCATGCACTACGCCAAGGACTGCCCCGTGGAGTGGTGGTTAATAGAGCGTCCGCCTGGCGAGCGGAAGGTCGCGGGTTCGATCCCCGGCCGCGTCATACCAAAAGACGTTAAAATATGGTACTTGTTGGTCCCTACCTGGCGCTCGGCATTAATGGGTAAAACAATGACTGGTCGGCCTGGAGTCAGTATAATGTGTCTGTGTGGGGTATTCATGCTCAACCGCGGCATAGTATCTCAGTGAGCTTGCACTATAAAACCAGCTTAAGTCTGGGCTAGTACAAGCAGACACACATACACACGTATGCACGTCGTCATATAGTAAGCGAAATATTTTAAAGCACGACGTTAAATCATTTCACCTCACCTCAGTACGCCAAGGTTGCGGCGATGGTATAAGGTAGAGGTTGCTATTAACGCTGCTTTGAACAGTAGTGATGTGGGAGGAAATCCCGTAGTAATGTAGGCTGTAGCACATTGCTGAGATCAGGGAGACTATATAAGGTTGTAGAGTATCCCTGCTGAGATCTATCAAAATCACTGTTGCAATCAAAGTTCGCCCCTGAGGAATACATTAATTCCCAGAAAATAGACAAACGCACAGATATATACATTGATTGAATCTAAAAGTTCCATATAAATTAAAAAGGAGATGGGAGATTCCTTAACCGGGGAAAATCTAGACAAGCTTCATTTAGGGCTACGGAATGGACCGGGTGGAAGGGAAATAGTGCGGTTCAGGGACTGTGAGACTACACAGAAAACTGCACCGTGTTAGTTAGAATTCTTGGCCGATCGCGTCCCTAGAGATGTCTCATGTCCGCAGGGCCAAAGGCTAGTCTGTGCTAGACATCGATAGACTCCTTCCGTTGACCGATATTCCCTAGTGAACAAGACCTCTATGACATCTCATTATCTTACCTGAAGATGAAACACAGTTAGCTTTATTTATGTGAGAGACACTATGCAGTCTATGGTCCATACCACTATACGTTCTGATTTCATGTTCTATTGTAGGCAGTGTCTTCAACTGCAAGAACCCGGGTAACAACTGCATCAACGGAGTGTGCAACTACTCCAACGGCATTTGCGTTTGCAACACTGGCTATGAAGGAGAGAGCTGCCACATCTTTTCAGGTACTGAACTTTGACATCCATCCTTGCTATGATAATTCATAGGTTCTGTTATACACCATAATTCCCATCCTGCTGGTCGCTTGAATGGCAACAAGCATTCATGTGTAGCTGGGTTTTGTTCAAGATGTAAATGGAACTTACCTTTCTGTCGTTTTATTGTGTTGATTCACGAACGTTATTAGTATGCCTCTCATGAGAGAGCACCTGTATGTGTGTGTGTGTGTGTGTGTGTGTGTGTGTGTGTGTGTGTGTGTTTGAGAGAGATTGAGTGAATCTAGTTTTACGCTGCACTCAGCAATATTCCAGCTATATGGCGGCAGTCTGTAATTAATCGAGTCTGGACCAGACAATCCAGTGATCGACAGCATGAGCATCGATCTACGCAATGGGGAACCGATGACATGTGTTACTGAAGATTAATATTCTAACCCGAATCTTCACGGATCAGAGAGAGAGAGAGAGAGAGAGAGAGAGAGAGAGAGAGAGAGAGAGAGAGAGAGAGAGAGAGAGAGAGAGAGAGAGAGAGAGAGAGAGAGAGAGAGAGAGAGAGAGAGAGAGAGAGAGATTTTATATGTCAAAAACGATTACTTATTATTGATAATGCATAGCAAATACTGCTTTGCTAATGAAATGTTGGAGAAAGCACCTTAACAAATATTGCAATCTAAAAGCCTATATTGTTAAATGTGCAATGTTCGGTTGGAACTCGCGTGTACAGTGTTTTCTCTTTTGTCCCTGGAGTTTTGGGTGGTAATTATCGCTAACAGAGCACCTAAGTTGAACAATACATGGGTGAGAAACACAAGCATGTTGTTACACCGTAAAAGCCCATTCGGACCCAGATGCATCTTGCAGCAGAATCTGCGCCTCTCGTCAGAGTAATTGTGTTACAGTATCACATATCACTGCATAGGCGTACTGAAAATATATGTTCAAAAAAGGTTTGCGATAAGTTATTGCTTTTTTGGTTGTGACCGTATTTTTCTGATCTGTATTTAAGGTTTTAGCCGTTTTTATATATTTTGCTGTTTTGGGCCGTTGCCGTTTCCATTGGATCCCTCGTACCCCTCAAACGGGTAGCAGCTGTTCAACCCACTCCTTCGACGTTCGTCACGGAGGACAGGCATAGAAAAGCATATTGACTAAATATACCGTTTCTTAAAATAGCTTTTTAGGTTTCTTTCTCTACCAATAGTTAAAAATATTCAAGATGATAATAATTAACAATTGAGAACGGTTTACTCAGGGTGTGTCATAGAATATCTCAGTTCAGGACAAGTTTAAGTGTTTATATAGGCAGCTGAGGGGGTAATGGCGTCTATATATGTATACAATATGGGGATGCTGTCTTTACAGGTGTATAATACAGCAGGGGTGTGGCCTACATCGTCACTTACCGTAACCCGTCTTTGGTGTTATCTCTCTGTGTCGTATACTCTCATTACAGCGAAATTTCACATCCTTCTCCCACCACCAACTGCGTAGCGTTATCTCAATTAAGGGATTTATATAAGTTTACACCTACCCGTTTAATAACGGTAAATATATTCGCGGTCATGTAACATACACCTGCGTGTTTTTTTTCTTTGCAGCCAATAAGTGCACCAGCCTCAGCTGTGGGGTTAATGGCGTGTGCGAGACACGGTCAGGGGTTGACAAGTGTGTCTGTAACGCTGGCTACTCGGGGGCATCATGCGAGTTGGCACCCAGTGAGTAGAGAGGGCGTAGACCCGGGCTTACATCACTGTCAATAATTCAATTAAAATAATATTTTAATTAAATTCGATTTAAAAAAAATGAAAATGTATATTCACAGACATTATTAGTGTAAGGCTTACGACCGTATGTAATTGTTTATGTTGTTTGGCTGTTTCATTTTATAGATTTTAAATTCATTTCGCTGTCACGACTGGTCTTTTTATAAATCATTACGTCATGTATGTATGGGAAAACATGATGAGGATTGTGATGATGACGACAATGATGATACTCTATAATAGTAACACCTCAAAATGTTTTCCGCAAAGATGATGATGATGATGATGATGATGATGATGATGATGAACAATATGTTATTCCAGTGAATTGCCAGTGTCTCACAGATAGAATGATCGTGTCAATGGCACCTCCTGGTGACTTTTCTAACGGAGAGGGTTACGTTGAGAGTTACAGGTGAGTAAAGATTCTGAAGCATACGACACACTTCGCTTGAAACGGGACGGTGGGGTAGCCTATTGGTTATAGCTCGTCACGCCGAAGACGCGGGTTCGATTCCCGACATGGGTACAGTGTGTAAAGTCCTTTTCCGGTTACCCCCACCCTCCTGCTAGTAGCGGCGTAAAACTAAAGTCACTCTCTTCGCTTGAAACAAATGTCAAATTTAGAAGTCTCACACGTCGAATCAGGCTGCATCCACACCTCACATTATAGTTTATAGGAAATAAGTGTTGTAAACAGCTTCACTGATACATTCGTATATATTTGATTTAACATTATGTATCATTTTAGTGTCTATTGTTGCAGTTCACACAATAGGTGTCTATTGTTGCAGTTCACACAATAGGTGTCTATTGTTCAGTTCACACAATAAACACTTGAGAAATAAATTTGACCCAAAGTTATCAAAACGTCAATAGATTGAAATCCTCGCATAGCTGTAAACATTGTTGATGCGGCTTAGTTCAATATTTATTCTTTCTAAGCATACTAATCATTTTGACCTGTAAGAAACTGTAAAAGTAATTCTCTTGCTGGCATATTCGAAACAATTCCAATGAATTGACTATTATTGACTTAGAAATACCAAATTATTGGGAATTATGTGATATCATTCTGATACTTTTGGGGTTTTAAGTACATCGTTATTTCCAGAAATCTGTGTGCCTTCTATTCCAGTAAACAACATACGCGACATATATAGGCTAGGCGCACCGGGGAAGATCCGGGGTAGAATTGATTTTCAATCACCCATGCTTGTCGTAAGAGGCGACTAACGGGATCGGGTGGTCAGGCTCGCTGACTTGGTTGACACATGTCATCGGTTCCCAATTGTTTAGATCGATGCCCATGCTGTTGATCACTGGATTGTCTGCTCCAGACTCGATTATTTACAGACCGCCGGCATATTGTTGGAATATTGTTGAGTGCGGCGTAGAACCAAACTCACTCACTCACTCATAGGCTAGACGTTAATGTTTTGATTCCGATTCGAGTCATACGAGGCTTACAAAATTACGTGTAAGAGAAATCTATATGTGACATAATTCTGTTGTTTTAATTCTACTTTGCAAATCAACAACTGGAATGCTCTTTTCGTACGAGGTTGTAGCAATAATGAGGTTGACCGATGGAATAACAATGCTAAATAATGAGTGAGTTGAGTTTTACGCCGCTTTCAACATTATTCCAGCAATATCAGCGGAACAAAAATGGGCTTCTGGGGACTCTAAGGGTGTGGGTTCGAATCCCGGATGGGACTCAATCCAACAAAAAGTTCTAGAATTTGTACTTAATCAAGAAAGTGTAATCCCAAATATAACATGTTAGATATCCCGGATTTAACATTTCAAAGGTATTTTGTCATCTTATCACAGTGCCGAACCCACCTGTAACACGGCGCGCATCGGCAACACCCAAACCATCACCGTTAGCTATTTGGCCGGCAGGTGCGGAACGGCTACCAGGAGAGACCTACCGGTAAACATACCTCAGTTTAAACCCAGTTAACTGCAGACCACTGCAGTGTTATCAGATATCGTGAAGATCCGGGTTAGAATTGGTCTTCAGTAACCCATGCTTGTCGTAGGAGGCAACTTACGGGATCGGGTGGTCAGGCTCGCTGACTTGGTTGACACATACCACCGTATCCCAGTTGCTTAGATCGATGCTCATTCTGTTGATCACTGGACCGGCTGGTCCACACTCCAATATTTACAGACCGCCGCCATATAGCTGGGATATTGCTGAGTGTGGTGTAAAGCAACAAACCAACCAAGCAAGTGTTATAAATGTTCATGTTTTGATAAATATTGTAAAGAGTTCATTTCCAGTAAAGAGAGCGTGACTATGTTTTCATTAGTTTTTGACTACGTTGGCGAGGTGCATGTATTTATTTATTTATTTATCGTTTTTGCAGGTTTACGTAGTCAATGTCTTTTAAGAAAAGTCAGTATAATGATAACAGCACCAACCAGCCTAACGATATGTAAATGCATGCCTGGTACACACACACGTACACGTGCACACATACACACGCACGAACGCACGCACATGGGTGCGCGCGCACACGCACAAAAATTCTTCAGAATGATATTTAATAGACATGAACTAGCTGTGGACCGTTTTAGGGTTAACGTCCCAATGTACATAAGTTTTCAAGACAGTTAAGTTAAATGGATGGAGTGAGTGAGTGAGAGAGTTTAGTTTTACGCCGCACTCAGTAATATTCCAGCTATATGGCGGCGATATGTAAATAATCGAGTCTGGACCAGACTATCCAGTGATCAACAGCATGAGCATCGATCTGCGCAATTGGGAACTGATGACATGTGTCAACCAAACCAGCGAGCCTAACCACCCGATCCCTTTAGTCGCCTCTTACGACAAGCATTGATTACTGAAGGTTCATTCTAACCCGGATCTTCACGGGTTTGAAATGGAGTGAGTATCTCACCCTGAAATACCCGTGAATGTGTGTAAACTCACATTGTAATGATGTGGTGGCAAACGACCTTTACCATAAACCCATGTTCTGTTTGGCAGAATGGCTATGCGTATACCCGAACTTTCGTCTACCGCTACAGCCGTATTATCCGTACCGGCACCGACATCCGCTTCCAGTGCAACTGCATCTTCGACCCCAGTAACAACGTCCTCTACGCCAGCTTTGGAAACATCAACCCCAATGACTTGTACGTTGACAATTGAATGTTGATTATTTAATATAAATGTCATTGAAGTATACAGATTTAGAATAACTTTATAGCAGTTATTGCGTTGATGACACCCTGTACATGATATCCAGAACCTAGATTTTCGAAGCTCTTCTAGTGTTAGACCCGTGAAGATCCGGGGTAGAATAGGTCTTCAGCAACCCATGCTTGCCATAAAAGGCATCGGGTGGTCAGGCTCGCTGACTTGGTTGACACATGTCATCGGTTCCCAATTGCGCAGATCGATGCTCATGCTGTTGATCACTGGATTGTCTGGTCCAGACTCGATTATTTACAGACCGCCGCCATATAGTTGGAATATTCCTGAGTGCGGCGTAAAACTAAACTCACTCACTCTTCTAGTGTTAAGATGGTCGTAAGTGCTATACATGAACATTAACTTTTGACTATCTTAGCTCTAAGACAGCTTCGAAAATCTAGCCCTGGTATATAAAACACACAGATAGCGATGGGGTAGACTAGTGGTTAAAGCGTTCGCTCATCACACCGGCAGGCGTGGTTTGAGTCCGAACAGGCATACAATGTGTGGAGTGAGAGATATTGCTGAAACTGCTGTAAACCGAGTTTCCCACTGTCAACTCAGAGATCATACAAGGATGTTGATGTGTTAAACCCCTGTCGATATACGGTGTTTGTTCGCATTATAAACACTGCTATGGTATTTTAAACAGATTCGAATCCCGGTTTGCTATAAATATATTTCTATGTTTGTCAGAACCACAGCTCGTGGCTTTCACCGAAGAGTTATAGTCTGAGACCTGCATCACTTCGGGCTTTCCTTCCACATTCACCTGTGAAGATCCGAGTTAGAATTGATTTTCAGTAACCCATGCTTGTCGTAAAAGGCGACTAACGGGATCGGGTGGTCAGGCTCGCTGACTTGGTTGACTCATGTCATCGGTTCCCAATTGCGCAGATCGATGCTCATGCTGTTGATCACTGGATTATCTGGTCCAGACTCGATTATTTACAGACCGCCGCCATATAGCTGGAATATTGCTGAGTGCGGCGTAAAACTAAACTCACTCATTCACTCACGCCTTCCAAATTTAGCATTTGATATTGCTGGAAAAAAGTGTGGTTAAACACATCCCGCTTTTCCAAACTAATGATAGACTTAGCTTATTCTTAAGCGTTGGGGTAGCCTAGTAGGTAAAGCGTTCGCTCGTCACGCCGAAGATCCGGGTTCGATTCCCAATATGGGTACAATTTATGGAGCCCATTTCTGGTGTCCCCCGACGTAATAATGCTGAAATATTGCTAAGAGCAGCGTAAAACTAAACTCACTCACTCGCTTAGCTTATTCGAAAGATATATCAGCGGCTCATTATTCACGTTCTAGTTTCACAATGTCAACATGTCTAGGTCATGCATGAACTCTCGTTTGAATCTGACGAGAGTGTTCTGTCTCCAGGAGCAACCTGATCTTCCAAAATGCCACCAACTACATCTCGCCCATCACCTACACTATGACCAACACCTTGGGTCAGACCATCAACCAAGGCTCAGCGCTCAGGATCGGAGATGAGATCGTGCTCACCTTCATCGCTGATGGCGGTCAGTAACGTAACCAATCACAATAGAAGGTTAAGGGTCAAGGCCATGACCTTTTATTTAGGCCCTTTGCATTAAAGGGGCACTGGTCTCGAACAATTCCCCGGAAGTGGTTGTTGCTTTTGTTATTGTGGGTTTTTAGCCGTGAGTACCCGGATTATATTCCAGAATTACTGATTGGCTTGTAACCTCTGCTGCGCCACCCGTAAACGCAATTAATAGTATAAGGACGTATCATCACACTGATCGAGAAATATAAATAATAAATAATATAATAAGAGCATTTATAATGCACTTAACTCCATTCACTAAGAGAATGCTCATAGTGCTAACAAATATAATCTGATTATTATAACCCAGGATAACCGAAGGCGGTAGAAGATTAACAGTAACATGACTTATCCCACCGGGTACCATTTTTTTTTAGGATCAAATAGAGTTTCGTCGTTTAAATAACTGGGAAATGTTGTCATCTTTGAGATCCCTTAATATTTTTAGTTACAAACTGGCAGAAACATGTCCATCTAGCCCATTATGGTAACAACTCCACTGAAGTTAAATTTCATCTCCCAGTGGCCAAAAGTGTTTAGATTGAAAGAAAAGTCAGTGTAAGCGTTTTTATTTTCAGCTTAGAATCCAAGCATAATTTTTCTATCATTATGTTTTGTTCTTATTGCACCTTGGAACTTCTTAAAGTATTTTATCAATCAATTTCTGAAATGACAGTATTGTATAGGCATTAAATATATTGCCTTCGTGAAAGAAATTGTACACTCTACGTTGCTATGTTGTGTTAGTTCCAGAGTTGCCAAACTGCCAAGAATGCGGCTAACGTTCAAGGAGATCATTCGTATTTCATTGTTCTGTTCTCGTAACACAAACGTTGACCTGATATTTGTAATAAGATACCTATATGACTTGTTCATAGAATATTCCGCATCTTTAGTGTCTTTAATTGTTTGTTTTTAATGATTTCTTTGATGTCTCCAGGCTACTGTGCTGTATTCGACAGACTGGTAGGCACCAGCCCAGGCATCCCCAGCAATCAAGCTGTGTTGATAGACAATGGGTAAGTTGGTTTCCTCAGTATATTTGGTCATGCACCTGACAACACGGGGGTGCCTTTCACCTAGCAACGTGTGTAATAAACACGACATCATGAGTGAGTGAGTGAATGTGGTTTTATGCCTCTTTTAGCAATATACCAGCAATATCACGCCGGGAGGCAATAGATATGGGCTTCACGCACTGAACCCATGCGGGGAATCGAACCCGGGCTTTCGCTGTGACGAGCGAACACTTTAACCACTGGGCTACCCCATCGCCCCTTGCATCATTAGTCGTACACACAACAACATGCACCTAGCAATATGGGTTCTACACCTGGCAACACGGCTCATGCACCTGGCAACAGGGGTAACACATCTGACAACACGGGTCATGCACCTGGCAACAGGGGTAATACACCTAACAACACGGATCATGCACCTGGCAACAGGGGTAACACATCTAACAACACGGATCATGCACCTGGCAACAGGGGTAACACACCTAACAACACGGGTCATGCACCTGGCAACAGGGGTAATACACCTAACAACACGGATCATGCACCTAGACAACAGGGTAATAGCAACCTAACAACACGAATCATGCACCTGGCAACAGGGTAATACACCTAACAACACGGATCATGCACCTGGCAACAGGGTACACCTAACAACACGGGTCATGCACCTGGCAACAGGGGTAATACACCTAACAACACGGGTCATGCACCTGGCAACATGGGGTAATACACCTAACAACACGGGTCATGCACCTGGCAACAGGTATACTACACCGACAACACTTCTATAAAGTCTGCGGTCAAGCCTGACCCGTTCTACAACAGTGACCTGTCTCGCTTCACAGTGAACCTGTACGCCTTCCTCTTCGACAACAGCAACTCCCTCCAACTATCGATCTTCTACCGCAGCAGCACCGACCGTACCCAGTGCCTCACTACCTGCATGTTACGAAATCTATCTTCGTGGATGTGATTACAAAGAACGTACATAATATAACCTATCGGCTTCATGGGTTGGTGTGGCTCTCTAAGTCGTCCCCGACTCGAAGGGTACATCATCCCATGGCCCATTATGGGTGGGATGCACGCAGCATCATGTCTCTTCTGTAGTGGGTCGGAGTTGGTTACAATTTACATGATACCTTGACTTATCGTGATAAGAAATCCAAGAATGATTCACAGGTGTGAACGTTACTATTTATTCAAAACCTTAAGGACAGAGCAAAAATTTGGGACAGCACCGTATTTCGAACCAAAGACCAATTGACTGAAACGTTAAGTGCTGCGCACGGCACGTCTTAGCCCAAAAGGTTCCCAGAGAGGTACATTGCAATATGTGAGAGTGAGTGAGGGTAACGTGGCTTGTATCCCAGCAATATCGAGGCAGGGGACACGAAACAAATTGGTTTCATAAGTTGTACCCATCTGAGGAATCGAACCCACACCTTTCCATGAGGGACGGACTTCACCACTGGCTGCCTTATGGACCCATATTGCACTTTAAGTCCTTAACATCCACCCACAGCCCAAAAACATGATATCCATGATGACTTCATCCTTCAATATATAAGTACTTTTCACATTGTAAATGTTATTTGATACGCCTGGAGGTTGCGTGGAGACAACTCAGGGTGGAAATAACTTTAAAATTGCTAGTGTACACCGGTACAGGTGTGACATACAAATTTGCTTGCCCGACAGAAAAAACACCGGACTCGGGCGTCGGGCACGGGTTATTTCCACCCCTGTTACTCTCTTAAATGCCTAGGCGTATACAGAGTTGGTAGGGCTGGGTGTTTCAAGAATAAGCACCGACACATCTTTGTAACTGTAAATGGTAGTGTGCCAGCGATGTCACAAAGAGGTTCTATATTTTCTGTGCCCGTAGACCTGCTCCACCACTGGGAGAAAGAAGAGAGATACTGAAGCAACTGAAGGGGAAGAGAACGTCATCAACCAGACTATCTACATCAACACGCCATACGAACAAAGCAGACTCACGGGTATGAACTGTAATATGAACTTGTACACGATTATGTTGCCTTTCATCACTAGACTGTGTCCGACATGGCTCATTTGAAGCGTGAGTTAGTGAGTGTGAGAGTGGAGTTGTCTTTACTCCGCTTTCTTTAGCAACATTCCAGCAATATCACAGCAGGGGACACCACAAATGTATCAATGATGGAATCGAACCAGGGCCTGAATACTTTAACCGCCAGGCTACTCCAACGCCCTGAGTTATATCGGTACCCCCAGATATGGTCTTATAAATGTAGATGGTCTGACGTAGTTCCTAATATGTCAAAGTTTTTCACTTCTACGACGAACAACTGCGTATATACTTGGCAAACGTGAAACGAACAGGTTAACCTACATGATATCACAAAGATGGTCTACAGGGAGGCCACCAGTCGTAATGCTTCATTGAGCAAGCAAATGACGGACAGCCAGTCATGTCGTTCCCTCAATGAACCAATGAATCTAGCGCACGCACGCATCGCGACATACACACGGTCAGTGGTGGTATTTGACCTGATCATATCCTAGCAGACTGCCGGAGAGCGAAAGGTCGCGGGTTCGATCCCCGACCGCGTCAAAGCAAAAGACCTTAAAATATGGTACTTGTTGGTCCCTGCCTGGCGCTCGGCATTAATGGGTACAACAAGGACTGGTCGGCTCGGAGTCAGTATAATGTGTCTGAGTGGGGTATTCAGGCTTCACTGCGGCATAGTATCTCAGTGAGCTAGCACTATAAAACCAGCTTCAGTTTGGGCTAGTACAAGCAGCCGCACATACACATACACACGCATGCACGTCGTCATATGAGCGAAATATTCTCAAGCACGACGTTAAACCCAATTTCACCTCCTAGCAGACTGAATGAAAATAGCATCGCATACATTATTCTAAACATCATCAATAACAGTACTGTCATCTCTGACCTCTCTCCTCGTTGTTGCAGACCAAAAAACCGAAGAATGCACGATGTCCAGCAACGTGATGATCGGATTCCATCGTCCTGCCGCCATCATCTGCGTCCTCCTTTTGTCGTCTGCTTCATATTTGATCAAGTGCATGCTCACGGCCAGGAACAAAACAAGACCGTGAACTAAATCTGAAAAATATCGCCAGTGGGCTAAAAGGAAACGACGTCGATTTGAAGAAATAAAATTACATTTGATAAAATGCATAAACTTCCTTTTCATGAAATAGTATGACTAGGGCATGAATTGAAGTTTAAGTTCATGACACCAGTCGACTTTGGTGAAGGTATTACAAAAAAATTATGCCTTTTTGAAGGCAATAATATGTCCTGACTTTCGTCAAAAATCTTGTATTAAGTATTCCCTGCGTGTCAAATCTGTTTTGCAACTTTCATTTTGTCATAATAAACCCACTAACGTATGCTGCTGATGTCGTTCTTCAACCGTGTAAAACTTTCCTCAAACATATGGATATATTTTACGACAGCTTCCATCAATATGTCATTATTATTTGTTTCTTTTGTTGTTTAACGCCGCTTCAGCAATATTCCAACTATTTTGCGGCCCGCTGTAAATAATCGTATCTGGAGCAGACAATCCAGTGATCTACATCATAAGCATAGATGTACAGAATTGGGATATGATGACATAAGTCAACCAAGTCAGCGAGCCTGACCCACCGATGCCTTTTATGACAAGCATGGATTGCTGAAGGTCAGTTCTAACCCGGTTCTTCACAGATCGATCATCGGCGAACTTTTTTAAATCCTTGTTTATTGAATTTTCACCGAGATAAGATTTATTGCACGGCGTTTGACAAGGATATTTGAGTGTTCAGATGTTTTGTGGCTTGCAACTGTTGGCATACGAATCGTCAGCGATGTTGGTATGGGTGAGTGGGTACCGTAAGATCGGCCTGAACGAAGTAGTGAGAGAGAGTAATCTCCCTGAAACCACCGGATGATAATGCGGT